CCCCCCCCCCCCCCCACAACTCTTTTGTGGTTGGTACACAAGATACAAGTTTTAATGCTTGAATCATTCTAATGGATCAAGTTCTGTACCGAGACAGTAGACATTTTCTTGCAGCCAGCCCCATTAAGTTGTTTACCTTAGCAGTCTCCCCAATCCTTAGCATCGTTGTAGTCTGGCAATGAAAGTTGCTGGTTTTGATCTGATTTTTACTAAATTATATGTAGTGTGAAAATAAGTTCTGGCCTCTGCGAGTGAGACTTCTACTTCCTTTATTTAAGTTATTCTTTTGCTATTTCTTCTTTGTTTGTCTGTTAGATTACCCCTAACAAACTTATGATGGGATGCTTCATCTTCTAACTGGTGCTTTTGGCATGCAATTTTCCAGGCTGCTATTGCTAGGCGTTTAAGTGATGTGAATGGCCGACAACCGAGTCAGGATGATTCTAACACCAAAGAAAAATCAAAATCTAGCTTAGCTGAAAGCAGTCTGGCGCCTGAGAAGCCAACCTATGCAGCTCCAGGAATTACTGTTCATGAGAAGAAATGGACAGATGGCAGTGTTCCCCTGGATGCAGTCTCTTCGGACCTTGCGAAGCTTGGGAAGGTATGAATGAAGATTAGCATAGTGAAGTTGTTTCCAGATAAATGACACTCAAAATGATTTCAAGCCCTTTTAGTATCTTGGATTCTCGGCACCAATCTAAAAAGAAAAAAAAAGAACTTGGCTTTTAGTTATTAGTCAGGCAGGTTAACCTGATATTCGCTTCAAACTTGATGAGAAAAAAAGGCAAGCAGTTGAATTCTATCTCTTTCTGTCACATCTGAAAATTGAATTCTGTCACACTTCAATTGATTGCAGGAGGCCATGCNGAGAAAAAAAGGCAAGCAGTTGAATTCTATCTCTTTCTGTCACATCTGAAAATTGAATTCTGTCACACTTCAATTGATTGCAGGAGGCCATGCGTAGGAGGCTTATTGCTGCAGCAGCGGCAGCTGAAGCATTGGAAGAAGCAATTGCCACCGAGTCTATTGTAAGGAATTTGAGGTAAGCGTATTTCTTTCTCACACACGAACGCGAGCACACATGAGACCACACACACTTTTGTACACGACTAGAATGTCAAAAAAATTGAATGTGGCATATCCTGTAGAGCTAGCACGATAAAACTATCAGAGGCTCACAAGGGCTCGAGCCTCCAACTCGAGCTTGTTAGTCCATAATTCTTGTTGACTACCCTATAAATATGAAGATGGACTTCCATTTTATCCAACCATCTCACCCTGTGGGATTTGGAAACCTTGGGAGAGTCAACAGGTGTATCTTGGTTTAGTTTTCCCTCTACCATCACCATATGTTTTCAAGCTGTTTTTTTCCCCTGCAAAGTACGTTTTCAGGCTCATAATGATCACAAAACCTAACAATGTAATACCCAGAAGGGGTGATACACAAAACCCATCACTTTTTTTGGCTCTGAAAAAACCTGCAGGGGTGTCTTGCCATTCAAAGCCATGCAAAATAATTTCTTCCCACATGAAGAATGATGGCATCATAGTACCGGTTGTGTGTTTCAAGAGGGTTTGTTATGAAAAGTGCTCTTTGGTCTTTTAGCCAAAGTTGCTTTTGCATACAACCCGCTTAGCACTATCACAAACCTGCCACCAAATGCCATTACATATATTTTTTGTGCTTTTCTTTGAATTTCTTGAAATGAAAAACTATTAGAAAGCAAACCAGTTTAGGTGATGAGCTCTGTTGTAGACTAATGGAAAGAAATTTTGGATTCGAGGAAGTACACTAGTTTTTTACTGTTCTTTACTACCATGATGATATCAATAGGTCAAAACTTATCATTGTGTTGTGATTCAACTTGATTAGCAGAACCTGTGTAATGTTCTTTTACAGCTTGATGAAAGCATGATTTTGTTATCTTTTTCTACTGCCAGCATGTTTTCGGAGCTCTGTGCTACATCAAGGGCTGGAAATCCTTTGCCCACTATTGACAAATTTATGTCAATTTACGACAATGTTGTGAAATTAACAGCCGCCACTGCTGAATCAATTGCCACCAACCGCATTTCCAACACCCCCCTTGCTAGTGCCCCAACCAATTCAAAATTTTCTATTTGGGTTGAAGCTGCTCTGGCCACTGATCTTGAGGTTGTATCCCTCTTGACCAGCGAAAACATTGAGCCTCCACAGGCATTGCAGAAATGTTCATCAAAACGACAGTCCCACAATGCACCCGCCAAGAATATTGTGTTGGCTTCTTCATCACTAGATGGGACCTGGACAAGAGGTCACGGAATGAATGAGACACTAAAACTTGCAACGAATTTGCAGTCAGAGATGCAAATATGGTTCTTGCGGTTTGTTGAGCAATCCCTTGATGCAGGTTTTCAAGTATTTGATAAGTGTACTACTAGCAATAGTGCTTTGCATTGTGGCCCAATTTTATCGCAGTTGAAGCGAGTCAACAGCTGGTTGGATCGTGTGGTTGAAAAAGGGGATGAGCTTCTGACTGAAAAGATCGAGCGCTTGAAGAGCAAGATCTTTGGATTTGTTATTCAGCATGTTGGAACAACTGTAGAGAACTCCATGCCCATTTGATCATCTTGATGTGAATTTAAAACCAGACAATTTGATTGTGAAAAACAGGTTTGTTTCATTTTAACTATAAAAATATGATTGATTCATTGTTTTTTGGAACTGCAAATTCAATGAAGTGGGACATAAGAATTTATTTCTGGATGGTGCAGTTGAATTTTAATGCTTGCTCTACAAGTAATTCTACTTTTACCACTACCAGATTGAATCCCAATTCTCATCTATTTTCGGTCTACTCCATTAATGAGACAAGTTTTAATCCTAATTCCCGTCCCTAATAATTAATTTTTGTAATTTTAAGAAAAAAATTTGATAAATAAACTATAATAATTAAAATGCAAGTTGTATGTAGGAGTGTTCACCTTACTATACGGGTAGGAAATATATTTTTCCGTCCTCCTACCCGATACTTTGCGGAAGAGTTTTTTCTTGGCCTACCTTACTTGACAGGTGTGGTATTAATTGTATAGAAAGTCAGGTAAACATTTTTATAACAATTAATTTTTGGATCATTTTAACAATTTAATTAAATAACATGTACTAATTTAACAACACAATAAATCAATTAACACTAAAATTTAAAACAACTACAACAAAAATTATAATAAAACACAAGAAAGTATGAATATCAATTCACCATAATTGTTACACAAATATAATAATAATTAATTTAAGTTTAAACTTTAAACCATATGAAATATATTAAAATCATAATTACTCCGCTAGGGTTTAGGGTTTTTTTAATTTATATATATATATTAAAAAATTATTACGGGTAAGGTAGGGTAGAAATGTGAAAATTGATAGCTATTCCGCATTCCTACCCGATTTTTGCGGCTAGCTGTTCAATAGGGGAGGGTAAAAAGTTGCGGTCAGTCGAAAATTTGAACACCCCTAGTTGTATCTTTGTCTCACATGATATGATCAAATTAAAAAACAAAGAAATAAGTTAAATTCAAAATTTTAAAACCTTCGAAGCTATTGTCATACAGACAAATCTAGAACAAATAATAAGATAAGGAAGGCCGAAAGGGTATATATATATATATATATAGATGAGTTGGTATATACGTGCATTGCATATGGATTATTTTAAACACAAAATATTTTAATTAAAGTCGTAGAGTACTTTCTCTAAAAGTTACTACCTAAATGAGCATAGATGAATTACATTTTATAAGAAAAACACCACGAAAAAATCACTGACTAGACTAAACCTAATAGAATGTTTAGTAAAAGTACATCGTTCTCCATTTTATCCTTTTAACTATTGTTTTTATAATTTTTTTCATGTACTTTTTTAATTGCGGGAAATAGAAAGAATTTGGATAATAATATTGTTTTTATAATTTTTTCATGTACTTTTTAATTATAATTTTTTAAGAGCACAGAAAAGGAATGGAATACAAATGCAAAAAAATAAGGATAGATTCAACTAGAAAAATAATGATAATTTTATGCATTGCAAATTCTTGATTGTGACTCGATTGAAAAGAAGCAAAAGTGATACGACTTTAGCATGCAATCAATAATGTTACACTTAACCCAATAGACCACACCACCATACTGCATTGGAATCATCTTTCCATATTTCCTACAACCAAACTATGTCTACAAAAAATTGAGATTGAAAAAAAAAACATGACTTCAAATAGTTTCAAGATTTGAATTCATGGCTGCACACAGTCACAAATCATCAGATTAAGCACCCATTTAAGCTTATAATAGAACAATATCAATGCACATGCTAAATTTAACACATATTCATCAATTATACATCTTATTCTGGTAAAAAAATCATCCCTCAATAGACACAAAACTTTCTTGAAATGACTTGATCACGTACAAGAATGGAATGTGCTATTATGTAGCTTTTTGTTCCCAAATTACTGAGGCCAGTAGGTGGTGAGTCTGATAACTGGTCAATTCAACAATAAGTTCTCCTAAAGCTTCTTATGAGAATCCTTCGCCTCATATACACAAAGAGAGCCAAAATAGAAGGGTGAGTCCTTGATAGGGGCAAATTATGAGGAAATGGAAGCTTAAAGCGTATACATGATAGGGTATACAAAAACTAAAACCAAATGTATTTACTCTCTTCGGTATAGGACGAAGAAGGTAATGGAGAAAGTGAGAGCAAATTGCATAAGCAGTTTAATAGGCAAATATTTTGTGAATAATACTGTTGGTACCCAATAATCTGGACTAAAACATTGATACAATGATGTGGCAGCTAATATGTTCACAACAAAAAAAATTCAGCAAGTTTTAGTTATAATAATTTTATAGGTCATGTCAACCGGCACATTGTTAAGTCAACTTATTAGGTTAGATTATTATGTCTCAATAACATCGCTTTTATTTTTTAAATTAGTGCTAAGTGCCTTTAGAGGAGGGACTATAGGCTGTGGCTAGAAGACCTTTTTAACTAATGACAAGGCTACGGTTCACACCAATAACAACTATGAATTTAGTGCAAGCATAAGGAGCAAATACATGCAGACCACGATCAATACTTCATTGTAAGCAAAAAGCACTTTAAAACATAATGCTTGTGAATTTTAAAACAAGTGCTTTCAAAAAGGACATTGACATGCTTTGGGTTGGATCTATTGGAAATTA